CTGTCAGGAAATTTGTCCATCTCTCTTCAATGGCCTTCTAGCCATTAATTCTTATCTTGCCCTCAGTGGTTTGGAGAATAAATTGATCCCTGATTTTTTGCAACAGCCCCTCCCTCAGATATTAGAGGATTATTATCATGTCAACCAGGGGTGGGATCCGAGCGGCATAACAACCGGTTTCGGGGAGCACTTGCATGCGCATCAAACACATGCTACATGCACCTGCGACTACCAGCTCCGGCAAGCATTTACCTTCTTCAGCTGACGAGCGGCACTCAGACGTGCCGTGTAAAGCAACTGAGGAGGAAAACGCAGCCGCTAAAGGACAGCCTAGAGCCCGGGCAGGCGGGTGGGCCAAACAGCAGACCAAAACCTTGTCCCAGCGAACCGGTTCCGTGTCAGCTGCTCTTTGGAGCTACCGGTTTTATAGAACCAGATCGAACCAGTAGGGTCCCACCCCTGATGTCAACTCTAATCCTTCTCTTTATTAGACTAGATGTTCCTTCCATCTTTCCTTGTACAGTTTAGCCTCCAGATCCCGTATCATCTTTATTGCTTGCCTCTGCACCCTTCCCTTCCTCTACCTTCCCTTCCCTTCCTGATGAATTTGGAATCTGACCATTAAAAACTACTTTTAATGGCAGTGTATTTTATGACTTGGTTGGGTGCTGATCTTCCTTTCTGCCTTGGTTTATAACGACCTCTCCTTTTCCATCCTGTTGCCAAAAATATACCGCAGCAGCAGCAGCAGCAGCAGCACATGAAAGCCAACGAAGAACAAAGTACAATCAGAGGGAACCAGGCCCCTCTTCCCGCCGTCTCCTGTGTGGGCCACTGGCCTTCATCATCAGAACTGTTGTTCCTTCCGCTGTAGACTTTGGTTTCATTCAAGGGTTTGCTGTTATTGGGAAGGACCTCACTGGGTGATAGCGGCGCCGTCCAGATAAGTGCAGGCACAGAGACAGGAGATGTCTTGACCTTATCTGAAGTGGTAGTAGAGGTGTTCCTCCTTGGAAGAATCTCAGCTGCTTTCACTGAATGGTCTATCGCTGAAGCCGCCGCCATCAACGTGACGGGTGAGTTCTTGAGGGCAGCATCTACTGCTGAGCTCCTGCTCGTCCTGTCCATGTCTGGCTTTGGGGCTGTTGTGGAAGAGGAGGCCTCCAGGAAAAGGAATCTTGGGGAAGAGAGTTCACCCTGGTCTGTTACTAGGTCAGCGACCCGTGCCCCGCCATGCCTCTCCCATTTATTAAAAGAAGACCTGGTGTTTATATCTTTGAACGAGAGCTTCTCAAAAACAAGAAGGTCAGGATCAACGCCTGGGAAAACAGAAGCCAAGAAAGAAGAAAGTTTTAATTTCTCTCCTCTCATCCAATGGCACCTGATCTATAGGCTTATCTCCACCAACTTTGCATTGTGCGCCAGTTACATCTCTTCCAGAACAAGAGAGGCCCTCCACTTAGTCACTCAAGCCCTGGTCATCTCCCAACTGGACTATTACAACATTCTGTACATGGGCCTAACCTTGAAAACTATCCAGAAGTTTCAACTGGTGCAGAATGTGGCCGCATGAGCTACTGTGTTTCCCCAAATATAAGACCGTGTCTTATATTAATTTTTGCTCCAAAAGATATATTAGGGCTTACTTTTGGGGAAATACGGTACTATATGCATTCGTTTGGCTGATGATCTTGCCTGGGCTTATTTTGGGGGATAGGGCTTATATTACCAGCATTCTGAAAAAATAATAATGCTAGGGCTTATTTTCAGGTTGGGTGTCCAAAGATGGGCACATTTAACATCTCTGCTCCATGAACTGCATTGGGTGACAGTTTGCATCTGGGTCCAGTCCAAGGTTTTGGTAATTACCTATAAATCCCTACATGGCAGGCGTGGGCAACTATGGCCCTTTTATGAATTATGGACTTCAACTCCCAGAATTCCTGAGCAAGCTATGTTTTATATTTTCTTTGAATAAACTAAAAGATTATACAGGAAAAAGTTTGTTAAACAAACAAACAAACAAAAAGCAAACAAGCAAACTTCATATCTGGATACTTTCTAAAAAAGCAAGTTCTACAGTAAAAAAACAAACTTCTTATGACATCATATAGCTCAGCAATCAAAGCATTCTAAAATGGTATAATAATAATAATAATAATAATAATAATAATAATAATAATAATAATAATAATAATAATAATAATAATAATAATAAACTATTAATTATTATTATTAACTCATAGAAGACGACTAGATATTTGGTACTTCCTTCCAGCTTCTTTGCTATAAAGTTTTACCTTAAGTTTTTTTTAAAAAAAATTGGATTTTAGTTATGCACATGTACAAATCACTATTTCCCCCGAATGTGCATTAATGCATACTTTGAGGGAAATGGGCAGTTCAGAAATATAATAAACAAACAAATAAACCATCAAGCAAACCTGGTGTAATATTGTAGAGGATCACACTGCTTGTAGGTTTTACTATGCAGCTTTCCAGCACCGGGCAATACATATGAATGCAGTTTACATCACGGATATTGGTTTTGTAGTAGAAAACAGCTAAGTTACAGGAAGCTAAAAAGTAGAGAGACAGGAAAGTTTTAAGCTGAGTCCTGATGCTGAATGAGCTTTGTCAGACTGTGGAACATATTAATTTTTTTAAAAAATCCTTTAATTAGGGTGCTAAAAATTATCGTTCTGTAGGCATCTCTCTTTCCACCACCAAATCTTGATTTAAAAAATCATCCCCCCCACCCCAAAAGGATTAAACAGATTATCTTTCTAATGAGTTGTTGTTTTCATACATTTTTTGCCTAAGAACCAAGACCAGGTTATATGCTGTCAGGATTATGTGTCACAATACCTCCCCCTATGAAAACAGGGATTGTCTTGTGCCAAATCAGTATTCCAATAATGGACAAATTCAGTCCTTCAGCTCTTATTTCAGTTAGGTGCCTTTATCCCACCAGCCCACAGCACGCATGAGAGACAGAATTGTGCAAGAGAATTGTTCTTTGTTTGAAAGTTCAGCTCTGGCGGCCATTGACCAGGGCCTGAAGAAATGCAAGAAAGGATCTAAAAAGATCTCTAAAATGTTTTTTCTGCCTTAACCATGCCAGGTAAATGCCCTTATGCCAGTCACTCTCTCTAAGCCCCACTCACCTCAGAAGGTTGGTAGGGGGGGGAAAGGAGGAAGAAGGAGTGTGCTGGTTAGACAGTATATAGTTAGTTTGGGAATGAGAGCTGTCCCCTTAAGAGAATCCCTCATGGGAAATGTAGTTAATGCCGCATGGGAGATGTAGTTCATGTCATGTGGTCACATCTGTACTCCTGATTGGTCATTGAATTGACTTCTGGTTGGGTTGGGGGGAGTTTTGGTCATTCCTACCTGGACCCCAGCATCATGCTGGAGTCTTCCTTTGCTGTATCATTATGGGATGAAAATAATTATCTTTTCACACTATGAAGATGACAATGCAAAGATTGGACATTAGATGAATCTCAACATAACTGTGAGTTATACCTTGAGGATGCCTGATATAATCCAATAAAGAAAGTTTGTATGGAAGCCTTTGCAGTGTTTAGCTCCTTATCTCAGGTATTTTGGGAAGATAAATATTGCCTGGGGCAAGATAAGGAGTATTATGTATAGTTGCTGCCTTGAGTTATTAGGAA